CAATGTACTCTGTATACGATAGTTGTTAGTATACTTTTTCATTTATATCAGTGACTAAACCAAGTTATGCGTCAACAGAGAGAAATTGATTATAACAGACTTCAAGCATCTGTTTGATCCAAAAAAAGAACGAAAACAAATTTCCTCATTTTTTAGTGAACTATTATAACCTATGACCGACGTCTACAAGTGTGTTCGATATTACTCGTCAACAGAAAATTTAATAATATCTAATTCTCAATGTAATTTCTAATAAATCTAAAACTTGCAGTCTTGTTAATTTAACTTAGAGAAATGTGAAAGAAGATATGTACTACACTGGCAACCTACACAAATAATTGATTCACAAGAAAACATTCTCAAGCGTCTAAATTGCTCAAAATCAGAGAGTCATTTTCTTATTACTATTTTATCGTTTATATTGTAAAATATTCTGAGTTGCATGTTATGTGAATAGACAGCTGACATGTTACAATGACACCATCCGCGTTTCAAATCAATGAAATTTATGTTCTTTTTTTTCTTTTCCTTCTTTTCGATGAGCGTTCTTTGTTTGAGGACAACAACTAATGTACACCAATAGAAATGAACCAATCCGATAAATTAGATACAGAGAAAAAAAACAGAACAGTAAAACAGAAAACAAAAGAAAAAATAAGTTTCAGTTATCACATGAATTTAAATAGATCTCAATAAATTGATACATGACGATGATGCTATACATACAATTATCGCTGTATAAGAATTTATTCTGTACAAATACTATGAATGTTGTGCTTCACTCATAGAAAAAATGTCAAAGACTCAAAATTTTGATTATCCATTAGTTAGAACGATGTACTTTCTATTAGACGATCATTTAAAGAAATTGTTAAATGAAGTTTGGGAATAGCTTAATAAAAAAAAGAGACTGCAATTAGATTTAAATGTTAATGTAACAGCTGGAAATGGATTTCTCTATGGAAAACTACAAGTGAGCATAGACATGCAAGCCAGTTGATCAGTGTACATAGATGCGCATGCATTACTTAACATGTACATGAACAATCGCTCTTAATGTATACTACTGGTCTCTTTTCGTGACAGTACAAATGCAAAAGAAATATTAAATTGATGAAAACAAAGCATACATGTTCTATCAAGGACTCGATACGTTTAAATATGTATCGAAAAATCAACAACAAAATGCTCATATTTGCTGTTCGTCTTATGATTTCACATGGAGTTTTGAAAACCAGTGTTTTCTATATTATATTTGAGCATAGGTTTTGCTGTAACCATGGGCAAGAAAATAGAATGAACGATTATCAATAATAAGCAATAACTTTGCTGCTTATAAAGAAAGCAACATAGAAGAAGAGAACACAATATTTTAGTCATAACTGATTTTATCAATTTTTCACTGATGAAAGTACATTATACTATTTCGAAAAGTAACATGATAGTAGGAATTAGTTATCTAATCAGTCAATATACAAATGTTTTTCAGAAGGATCTAGAGTACTATAAACTCTTTTAGTGAAAAACTTAGGAAAAAGGTCAAATATGTCAACAGGTGGTCATAGAGATACGCATTGTACAAGCGCTTATTACCATCAATAGTATTCATGTAAAGAAAATCGAAAATGTTTCATTTAGAAAGTATCATTTGAGAAAACGAGTTTTGTATAAACATTTAAACGTTATCAAATTGGTGTGTCATGAGTTGAACATGCTGCTTCGCCATAAAAGTGTACCCAAAACAATTAACTATGTTAATTCGGATTTTTCAGACTATTTTTACATAACAAATAAATGCAATTGTAAGAATAATGATGAGCATAACTTGATTTGTATAGGGAGCAACAACTTTTAGCTTTATACATTATGATGCGCTGTGTATAAGAGAATAAAACTTTTATGCTCAAATTTTATCTATTCAAGTTCATTCAAATGAGATGTTTTATTTTAGGCGCGTGGTCTTAGAATGTGATTGAAATTCTGGTTTTGCTCTATTATAAAGAAAACTTAGCTTCTTATTCATCTACACTAAAGCTTCGATAAACTCCTAGTATCTTGTTGCTTTAAAATCACCTACATTCTATGACTGTTAGAAAGAGACAGTGTTAGATCTGTTTTCTATGATGTGCCGCACATTTGATGTATAAAAATGTAATCCATTATCTTAAAAGATTATGCTATTTTCAACTAAAGACATTCTATCTTCAAAAAAATACTTATGAATGTAGTGGGTATTATGAAGAGTTCGACTCTTCCTGATTTGACAATTGCTAATTCATTGTTTAAAAAATTTCAAAAGCTAGATGTTCTGATTATTCTTGAGCATGACTTCATGACGATCGAAAATTTTCATCGATTGTTTTGTGCGAATTTTGCACTATATTCTTGACCTTTGTGTAAAATATGGACGCTAGGTAAGAAAAGACTAGTGAATCGTATAATTCTCAGAAACTATACATATATTTAAATAAGCCCAAAACTTTAAAAAAATGGACTCGGTTATCATAAAATGGTCAGAATTGTTGAAGACTCAATCAATACGTATCTTAATGGTCGACATTGTCTAGAGATGGCTAATAATGCATTTTAATGATCATTTTCCCATTATTCACTTGACATGGAAATGGTCAAAATGGTTCAAGTACGAACCGAAATGCATTTTAATGGTTATTCTACCATTTTTCAACAAAAATAGTCCATTTTAATGACTGCAATGATCTTATTACTGAAAATAATGCATTTTAATGGCCATTTCTCCATTTTTCATTCGATTGGGCACTACCTACCATATCCAAAGAAAAATATTTTTGCATAGCATAAAAAAAATGAGATATGCCTTATAAAAACTTCAAAAATTTAGGCTATGCTCTAGTTGTTCTCCTTTTTAACATAAAATAATTACATCAAATGCTCCCAAATTTTGAATACTCTAATAATAATATCTCGACAAACAAAATAATGCTTCGCATCTAGATTGGTATCAACAAATACTCAACTTTTCAGAGATGACGAAAATCAAACTATTATCATTTCTGTAATTGTTCTTATGAAAATCTTTAGAACTATCATATGAGTCAAATTATTACTTCAGTTTGAAAAATCAAAGCTTTCTAACAATGATTTTTCGTTTTCATATTTATCTCCGTCCAAAAAGTGCTTCTTAATGTAAATCTATTAATGCGAAAGCATGAAAAAGCATATTTCTGATTTCGAGTAAAACTTAAAGTCGTATATTAAATAATGTTATAAAATTCGACAAAACTTAGCAAAAATCTAAAGTTTAAAACTCTTCAATGTTTCTCCTATTCGAACGTATAACTCTCAAGAATTGTCAGAATCATGCGATAGTTCTATTCTCTCTTGCTACTTTTGACTTTCAATGAAAAATATTTGAAACTAAACCTCTTTAAAAGTATATCTAATGACAGAACCGGATGAAAAGAAATGGAAGTCAATTTAAAAAGTAGATCATATTTTCCAAAAACTGCTCAACGCTCAAGTCTCTTTTTCAAAAGTCAATCGTATAAAATTTCACTATAAATTAAAACAGTACAGCCTTACTTTCATAACTAATTTTCATATGTGTACAGAAAAAATGATTAATACGTTGTCTCGTTATATAAATATGTGTTTCTTCTTTAATAATGTAATTGTAGATAACTTTGATAGTATCAGACTTTGTTTCATAAATTGAAGCTTCGTCTTGATGAAAAGACCAATCAGTTGAACCATCATCATTAGTGATTGGTTTCTAAAATATAGCAAAAGATAAAATGTAAAAAATAAAATAAACGATATACTTCTCTGTAATTGAATTGATCGTCGTCCAAATTGTCATGATTTCGAGCATTGTATGTGCTTATTACAGAAACATTGGCTTGTGTTTTGATTCGTTTGGAAATACTATGAGATGCATATTCACATTGTGTACTGCTACTATTTCCTTAAAATTAAATAAAAGAAATTATATGTTATGGTCTCAAAAAACTAATGAATAATGACTAGAAAAATATAACTGAATTCAATCAATTTTTCGCATACCATAACTTTCCAAAATTGATGAGATTTACATGAAACCGTAACGATTGCATTATGAGATCTATTGTCTATAGAATGATTTCTGTTTTCACCAGTAGAAATTTGGCACTATCAACGACGTGCTTCTTTTATAGACTTTTTCAAATACTTAAGTCACACAACCAATTCATAATTATGATTGCGTTTCATTCTGAAAAGGGTTTCAGAATTTTTAATTTTAGCTAACTAATTCATGCTCAATAAGAATTTAGAAAATGTTTTATGAAAATCGGGCATAATTTAATAGAGTTGGTTTGTCTTAGCAAATCTTTGAAAATTTAGCAATAAAACTCAGGAGTTTCGAGTCAATAGAATCTATCTTTCATACAGTAAAAGAAATATATCTATAAAATTTTCTTCCAAAAAAGTAAGTTTGAAGTTTTTATTAAGTAAAATGTTTCACTCAAATGAGTTCTATAACTGTTACTCTAAGTACATAACTTAATTCTTTTTTATCATTAAACATATTTTTTAGAAGTCTTAACGAAGCATTAGAAATACAACCAGTCTGGTGGGCATGAACCAAAAATATGGGGTATGAGATCTTTAGAAATGTTCTTTTTTATATCATTTGCTGATTTTTTTAAAATAAAATAAATAAATATTCACTTGTTCGAAAACAGAAATATTACAAATATATTTAGGCAAATTTTGACACTAGCAAGCATCTAATACACATATCTTTCATCTCTCTGTACAATCTCTTTCCATATATATATATACCTGAATTGCTTGGATTCATTTTGTGGTTCACGACTTGCTTTTTGCATTCTTCACGAAAAATATTCAATTCACGTATAATACCCTTCTTTACTCCATTTGGAGTTGACAAACATAATGGATCTTGATATAAAAACAAATTTAATCGAACTTTTTCATCAATAAAATTATGCATTTCAAGCAATTCGCATTGAAAATCATCACATTGTATTAATCCAGTGTAGGATCTAATTCCTAGTTTAAAAAAAATTATATCTGCAAGATCGTTTGACAAATTCAATTCCAGAAATTGTTGAAATTGATAATGATTAATGGCTGCCATTCGTTTTCGTTTGTTAGATGTCATTATAGAGAAAATAATCAATATAATGAAATGATGAAAAAATCTAAAAATTTATGTGCAAAAATACTAATAAGACAGTCTTTTATATGAACCTGTTTTTCTGTGAATTTTCTCCTTTATTTTATATCTGCCGGACTATTGGTATTGTTTTCTCATGAATCAATAATAATCGAAGTACATTTTGTATCTTTTTTTAATAAAAATAGGAACAGAAAAAGATTTATCTGAATCTATATTTGTTCGAATCAATTTATAATTATTAATAATTATTGCAAAATATTTTCGTGGGTAGTTTTAGTAAAGGTGACAGATGTCGCAATATGCTCTCCATATATCTATTAGGTACATTTATACGTTTGTTTCTTTTCTGTATTCTTAATATATGAAGTTAATAGTTGCTTTAAATCAGAAGCATATATCACAATGCCAAGTACGTCAGACAAAAATAAAACATCTTAAATATGTTTTATTTGAGGGACACACTCTGTTTTATACTCTAGTTAAAACAACAAATTGTATGAAAACATTTTGTTCTAGATGTTTATTTCAAGTTTTGATCTAGTGGCGTAACCAGAAAATTATGGGTGACCGGGCGGTGCCCTGCTGGTTTTTAAGAATTAGCGATAGGTGAAATTTTTTCTGAATTTCAATCAAGCGCGTCAACGTTCACTTTTCTAAACAGAGACAAATAGAGCTTGTCGGGTTCTAGCTAGTTCCGCGCCTAAAATTTTTCAATAGTCAGTCCCTAATTGAAAAATCAATTCACATTAGAATTTTTTTTATTTCTTAAAATTCTTGTTCGCATTACTCAGAAATCATTAAGTTTTTTTTTAAAAAGTGAAAGAAAAACAGTAAGGTATTAGTTTCGCTCAACCTTGAACCAATAAGACAGTGAACCCATGAGCTTGGTGTCTAAAGTCTTTTCTCATGTAGGTCCTGGTTCAAAAATTTTTAATTGGTATGCTCTTAGTCGAAATGTTTTCATCAATTGGGTCTAGATCCATGTAGTTCTGTAAGAAAAGAGCTTTTGCCGTTACCGTTTCTTTTTCTAGTTGCCTATATGCCATTTAGAAATCTTGTGAACATTTGAAGACGTCTTTCTGACCTTCACAAAAACTCTTTAATGAAAGATAGAATGAATATTTTTGAAATTTTGTGTATAAGTATTGGTGATTAGTTTCATTGCTCTGCGCTCACTAAGAATTGAAGGAAAGTTTAATTATAAAAGTATATTTCAATGTAAATAAAAATATAACAAAACAAATGCTTTTGAAAACATCGCATTTTGAGATTTTTCCCCTTCCATGTTCGCGAAGAAAACGAGACATGAAAATTCATTGCCGTATAATATGCGGTCTAGAAACCAGAAATTCTTAGACTCGCTGGTCTCTAGAGACGAAACAATTATTCTGCTATTTTATTAAGGGAATTTAGACAACAACAAGAAATAGTAGAAAAATGATAGCTATTTCAGTTTTACTTCACTGCTTTTGTGCCGAATATCATGTTTAAGCTTATTAGTAAAGTCGCATTTTTTCCTTTTGTAGTCTGTGATCTAAAAAAATATTCAATAGGTCCTTTTTTTAGGCTACTTAAAAATTACCTCCATTTCGAAATTAGATAAACTGGGCTTTGAATTCGCTGTCTCCAGAGTAGTTAATTGCTTCTTTTCCTGCATGATATCTATATGAGTCATTGCACGAGAAAGACAACCGATTTCCCGATATGGGTGCTCAATCGATATCGCAGATCGAGATCGGAGGTAGCCCATCTTGTAGAGCAAATTTTTTTAGGCATAAATTCAAATTTTTAGCCCTAAAGCTTGAATTTTGGCTGAGATACGAAATACCGACTGAAAAGCCCCAAAATGCCTTTTTTATCAATTTTTCATTTTTTTGGGTGGC